GGGCTCCAAACTTTTTTAATCGCGCACCCCTAGGTGTAAAAAATTTTTAAGTGCGCAACCCCTGCCACGCCGAAGCAAAAAAAAAAAAGGCGCTCGGACTCCCACCTGATGAAACAAAACAAAAAAAAGCGCTCGAAGCAGCCGCCTCCCAATCTGCCATTCACCTAAACACTAGGTGAAAAGTTATCTGGGAGGCCTCTGCCTCTTTCCTGCTGGGTTGTTTTGCGAGGCGTTCGGCAGGTCCCTAACCACCTCACACGAAATGGATTAGGCCCCAAAGTCACCTGAGGGGTTCCTGGCCACGGCTGGCAAGCAGAGGTGGGGCGGGGAAGACGCTGGGTCAATTTCCTTCTCCCTGCCTGATGAGCAGGGAGTTGAAGAGGGCTCTGCAATCTCTCAAGCATGAGCCTGATATTGAAGTAAAGGACGGCCTGAGGAGGCTCGCTCGTTGTAGCGTGTCGAGCCTGTGCCACGTTCATTCAGTAGTAACTGGCCAGGCCTGCTCTACGAATCCCTCTGTAGTCCAGTGGCTTGGGTACTTTCCCAGCATGTGGATGATGCAGGTTCAACTCCTTTCTCAGGTTGCTGAGAAGGGACTTGAAGAGCCATCTCCTGCCTCCAAGGTGAATGAACATGCAGCTGTTGGACTAAGAGGGGTTCTCATTGGGGCCTGACAGTGGTAGCATCCAATTTTTCTGCTGCACTTGTTTCACTTTCATTACATATTCATTGGATGGCAAACCTAGCAAGCAGCCCAGTATGGTCTAGTGGTTTGTGGTTGTGGCTGGCCTGAGGGAAGCTAGGGTTCAAATCCCCTTTATGCTGGCTGAGACGGGATTTGAACCTTCATCTCTTACCTGGCAAGTGAATGCTCTAAGTGCTGGGCTAGGCAATATTCTGCCCCTGGGGCTCCCTTGCTCTTGTCTGCTGAAGCTGCTGCACTTTCATTACATATTCTGTGGGCCAAGCCACAAACAAGCAGCCCAGTGTGGCCTAGTGGTTGGGGTGTGTGCCCAGCCTGGAGGAGGTTGGGTTTCAAATCCCCTTTATGCTGGCTGAGATGGGATTTGAACCTTCATCTCTTACCTGGCAAGTGAATGCTCTAAGGG